TAGGGTTCATTGGAACACAATGTCTAAATACTCATCTCGTGTCGATCTGGGTCATCCGTTCGGGGATACGTGATCCTCTCTCGTCTATCAGATCTATCTTATTCAAGAAATGAATATGGGCCACACAATTGGATGGAATTTGATCGTTTGATCGCGCCTAAAGAGAGAACGCATCTGGGCCATTCACGCACGCGAGATGAGATCTGGACCGTCGGACTGCCGGGTATGTGGATCGCTCGTGTGGCTTCCTTCGTGGTGCTGATGTCAATGAGGTTGCCACGCAGCGTGCTCTGGGTCGCTGGGGTCGCTTACTCGGCCATCCCACATGACCAAACTTTCTCTTTTTGTGTTTTAACTCACTATTTTCAAATTTTCTTTCAAAAATATCATATGAATTTAAATTTTCACTATTTTTCTCCAAAATTATTTTTAATTTCGTCCCTAATTTATTTTTTTCTCAAAAATTCATTAAAATAAAATAAAATAAATTATTTTTATAATTTTTTTATAAATAAAAAAATAAAAAAATTCATCTCTGACTGATTTTCGAGCCTGGGTATTACAGTTATAGTCATGAGTTGAAGGGACGGGTTTTCGCTTAGATGAAGGTAGAATGGACTAGCAAGAAACTCCTCCATTATTGCCAATTCAGTTGTGGTATTCATTCTGAAATACTTTGTGTAAGTTACTCAAACACAAATCTCCTTTCTTCTCCCTAATGCTTGACAGACATCAGATTTAGGGCTCATTTCTATTTATTAATTTAGAGAAAAATGGTGAGAAATAGCGCAGTTAAAATGCATGATATTGCTTTGATACCATGTTAAAGCTTAAAATCATCCAAAAATTGAAAAAAAAAATGGAGAATGATTTCCTCTATAAATATGAAGAAATTTGATAAATAGGGAGCGCAAGAGAAAAGATAAATATCGGGGGTTTGAGAAATGAACAACATATTTTTATTAATGAGAAATTAGGTATTTATATACAGAGTCTAATATCAATTAACTACTCTAATATTGATTAATTAAAAACTAATATAAACAAACTCAACCAACTAATAACAATGTAGTGCCCGGGAAATTGAAGAAGAAAAAAAAAAAAAAGGCCATGTCAGCAGACCCAGTCAGCAGTCCCGGCCAACCGGGACCTGCCACGTGGCAAGACCACGTCGATCCGGGACGGGCCACGTTGGCGATCCGCGTATGCGCGATCAGACGGCCCAGATCAAGCATGCGATCGGACGGCCCAGCTGCAATCGCACGGACGGCCCAGATTCAATCAAAAATGGACGGCCCATATTAAATCAAAATGGACGGCTGAGATCAAAAGGCAAAAGGGTGTAAATAGAACCCCCACACCAGACCACAAAACCCTAGCCGCCTGCCCTCGCCGGAGAAGACGAACCAGAAGCCAGCCGCCGCCGCACCGGGGAGATTTCCGACCGCTTATCGAGGTAAATTTCATACTCCCGACTCGTTTTTCCACGCTGATTTCCCCTGTGGTCAAATCGGAGCCAAAATCCCGGCCAAACGGCCGGAAAACACGGCCGAAACCCAGCGGCGCTACCGCGTCCCTCCTCGATTTTTGCCTCCGATGAGGCCCTTCCCAGCCTCCGTTTAATGCAATTTTTATATCACCGTGATCACCATTCTTTTCTCTACAGGTTGATCGGAGCCGAATCACCAAAACACGAACTTCACCGGAGAGTCGCCGCACCCGAGAACACCGCCGCCGGTAAGCTTCGGTTTTCCATAATTTTTTGGCCCCCGAGGGCCCTAGGGTTGTTTAATCGCAAGGATCGATGCAAATGTGGCCGAATTCGTCCGGAAACGGCCGAAAACGGCCAAACCGAGGCGAATCGCCGCCGCTCACCGGAGCACGGCGGAGCCGCCGTGCCGAAATTGCGATATTGGCCAAAAAGGGGCCCTGGGCCTAATTTGGGATTTTTTTGAACACGTGCAGGTACCAGTAGTGCGTTTCAGTTCCCCGAAAAAAATTCAGAGAAAATTAGAGACAGCTTGTGGGCGCACTGTGAAGCCGTGTTCGGACCCCGAAACAAGTAAGGACCCCTCACTCTATTTTCTATCACGGTATTAAAGTTCAATAAATGATAAAACGGTATTTCATGAATCAACGAATGTGTGAAATTGCTTAAGGTCGCTAATGGAGTCCGAGTCTAGTGTGGTTGTCGGTTAATTGTTATTTGCCATGTTTTACAGTTTTAAAAGCAGTATGAGGTTTGATGTTTTCATTTTATAGTTTTATGTGCATATTTTACTGTTTTACCGATTATGGATTGAATGACTGGGATATTGATGCTGTATGTTGTCTGTTTGGCATAAATTACTGTTTTGCTTGTTTGTATGTGGATTGATGATGCTGACTGAGGGAAAAGAGAATGATAGATTATGTAAATGGGTAATTGTATAATGTGGTCAGCCTGACTAGATATCTTGGGAGATGGTGGACGGACCGGGTCCGTAGGGAACCCTACCAAGATTGTGGTCTCCCATACCGGACGGGGTATGAAGATCTTATGTGTTTTGGCGCCCATACCGGACTGGGTATGGGGACGGCCTGTTTCACCCTCATACCGGACGGGGTAATGAGGTTTATAGTCTTGGCGCCCATACCGGACGGGGTATGGGGACGGCCCTGGAATCTGATTTCAAGTGTTAAGGGTTAACGGGTAACGGGACCCCTATGGATCCCCATGGATACTAGTGGGCTGGTAAATGAGGAAAATATGTTGTGTAATGATTGAATTACAAAAGGCGTAATAAGTATTATGTTATACAGTTTATATATGATTTCATGATGATGATAATGTTATTGCTTTCGTATACTGTTTTATGAATTTCACCGAGGTAAGTGGATGGTAAAGGATTTATTATTGATAAAAGAATTTGTTGTAAATTATGCTCCATTGGTCTTTTTGTGTTTTCTACCCACCTTTACCTCCGTGACGGTGAGATATCGTGATGTCCTTACTGGGGTAGTGTAGCTCATTCCTTATTTAATCATTTCATATCAGGAAGACATTGTTCCCGAGCCCGTTCCGCAGGAGGACGACGAAGGGGACGCCTAAAGACTCCATAGTCATATTCGTAGCTTTTACTTTCAAGTTCTCCTTTAGTTAGTTGATCTTTTATATTTTGTGAGCACGTTTTTGGTTTTAGTGTAAGGGATGTTAATCGAATTTTGACTTCGCTTCCGCATTTGATATTTTTAATACACATTTCATTTTAAATTTTCGGGGCTGTTACAAACAACCACTTTAATAGCTACTAACTATGCATGTCTAACCCGAGATTTGACTTCCTATTATATGGCGAATGATACTCTCAGCATGCTCCTTTCTTCCACTACAGCCTTTACATGTTCCTTCTTTTTTGCCCCAAAACCATAAGTCATAAATTATATTTGAATTTTTAAAAGTTGGTTTTGTTGTTCTTGTTTCAAATTGGACATTGTCAACTATTTGAAATAATACAAAAAGTTAAGGGGCTAATTTCTTGTAAAAAAATTTTATTTATGATTAAATTATAACATGGGTCAAAGTTGAGGGACTAGATTGGTAATTTATCTTAAAAATTATTTATGTACTTTTCAACTAAAAGACTAAATTTTAATACGTAAAAAAAAGTTATGAAGAAAAATAGGAATGAGGCATGCTTAAGGAAAATGAAATTTATATTAGGCGTAATAAATTTGGTATAACACTTTGTAAGAACAAAATTGTTCTATTAATTAATTTAACATCCCTTATCCTATTCAATCTTTATAATTTTGTTAAAAAATATAACATAATACTAATTAAAATAAGTAAATTTTTGGACATATCATCATTAAATATTAGTTATAGTATTATTTTTAACAATATGGTTGTCATGTGTTATGGGGAGGTTGAATAAAGATTAAATGAGCATACATTACATTTTGTGGGTTTATTGACAAAAAATAGAGTTGGAAGAAATTGTCTTCAACAGGTTTCATTTAGATTTTAAAACAATAGGATTTTAAAAATATATAATAGTTATATATTTTGTTTAATAATATAACTATCACAGAGATAATAATATTTTTTAAAATATATTTTATAAATAAACTATCACGAAGAATAATTTAAAAGAAAATGTAAGATCCTATATCATATAAAAAATAATTAGGAACATAATAAAGAAAATAAGGATAAAGGTCTATTTTTATAATTAAGCCAATGCATTTTTTTTTTAAGTTAAAGAAATAAAATATAAGGTAGATCTAGAAGATGTACTTAAAAATTTCCTTAAAAGAATATTTTAGAGTGAAAATTACTTTTTACTCTTATATATCTAAGATTCAAATTTGGAGAATTGCTAGAGTATAATTGATATTTTTAAAATTAAATTTATTACATACAACTACTTATATACAACATAATAAGTATACTAAAAATTGATATATTGAGATCTTTTTCTTAATTTAACCAAATTAATTTTTAATCTTCTTTTTCTTTTCTTTATTAAAAATCAACACATATTTTCTATTTTATCAAATCTAGTAGTTAAATTATGTTAGTGTTTGAAACAATATTTAAATTACGAATTTTAAAAATGTTATTAAAATATTTATACACTAAAAATATTTTAGTCAATAATTATTTGATGTTTAATAAAAATATATATAAAAAGTTTTATTATTTTAAAAAAATTAATTTTATATTTAATGAAAACCACTTTTAAAATTTTAAATATAAATTTTTGTTAAAAATTAATTTTTTTTTTCCAAAACTACAAATTCTAAGTTTTATCGTGAAATCTAAAAAAAATATAAATCTTGATATTAACATTTGTTAAAATATTTTTTATTTTATTTATATAATTACAAAAATATTTTTAAAACATAAAAATTAATATAAAAAACTGTACCAAAAGTGATGTCATATAAATTAAATAAAGTTTTCCAAGAAATTAAATAAATAAAGGATCGTATTTTTTAACATGCAGCAAGCGCGATAACAGTTCACCTCGCGGTTCAGATCCTGTTTTACTCCACTGATGTGATAATTTTCAGGAACAGAGAGAGAGAGAGAGAGAAATGTGGCGAAGGCGCTTCAGTGCCGGTTGCGCGCGCGCGCCGAAGGGAAAGAAATGGGACGCCATTGTGATCGGCGGCGGCCACAATGGATTGACAGCGGCGGCTTACCTGGCTCGCGGTGGCCTTTCTGTCACTGTGCTTGAACGGCGCCACGTCATCGGCGGCGCAGCTGTCACCGAGGAGCTTATCCCCGGCTTCAAGTTCTCCCGCTGCAGCTACCTCCAAAGCCTTCTTCGCCCCTCCATTATCAGGTTCATTAAATACACCATTGTTGTTCATCTCATCTCCTATGTCAACCCCTGCTATGTGTACCTTCAATCTGATGTTTGTTTCTCCTTCATTTTATTTCTAATTTCTTTTTGGAATCCAAAGGGAATTAGAGTTAGCCAAACATGGATTAAGGCTGCTAAAGAGAAATCCTTCATCGTTCACACCCTGTTTGGATGGACGCTATCTGTTATTGGGGCCGAATAAGGAGCTTAATCATTCTGAGATTTCGAAGTTCTCCAAACAAGACGCTGATGCTTATCCCAGGTGTTCTCTCTTTTCATATGCCATTAGTGTTGAAGTCACTGCAAGTCTCATTTACTTTTCCAGTTCTGGGAGAATGCTTACATGAGGTTAATTACGTCAGTTATTTTATCAATAACGCTGATCTCTTTTTCAGCTAAAGAGTATGATTTTATATATTTCCAGGATGCTGTTTATTTAATTGATGTGAAATATAACCAGCTTGTTGCATAATTGGAGAAGGAATTGAGTCATTTTTATACTTGAACAATGATTTTCTTGGAATTTTATTTTATGATGTAAAGCCGGACAATGTGGTAGGTTAAAGAAATGACCGGAGTTGGGGCTAGGTGTGTATACCAGTTCCTCTTTAGGTTTTCTTCGTAAAAGCAAATCAGGGTTTTACTTTTATTTTCATATAATGAAATGATTGATTGTTTATTTAAAAAGAAATGTGATGATTGATTGTTATGTGTACTAAATTGCCAGTTAAATAACCATGGAAGTGCAAGAACTAGGTTACTTGTAGAGGAAAAAAATTACAAATAGAAGTATAAATTCGATTGAGGATTAATGTTATGAACTAATAATATGAACTTAAGAAAAAAAAATGAATGAGTTATCTTTTTCTTTTAAGTTCCTTGAGCCTTGTTTGTAATTGCTGCTATTTTCCATTGTTTGAATATCTTATCCCATATACAGGTACGAGGAGCAGCTGGAGAAGTTCTGCAGGTTCATGGATCCACTGTTGGATTCACCTCCTCCAGAATCTTTGCATGGTATATCATCTTTTAATGACCGCTTAAGGAATAAAATGCACAAATCTGCATTCTGGGCTCGTTGCTTCCGGCAGGCTGTCTCCTTGGGGCAAAGAGATATGGTGTATAAGTTCCTTCTCTATTCAAAAGTGGTTTTCATGTGTTCTTAGCATTGCATCTCTGGTATATACTGTTAGGTCTAATGTGAAGTGGCATGCTAATTTTATGAATATCTTTCTACGTTATTTCAGTGAAAACCTAGTAGCTCAAGTTAATAACTGGCTGAATTAGGGTTTCCATCTGTTCAGGGACTTTGTGGACCTTTTACTGTCTCCAGCTTCAAAGGTCCTGAATAACTGGTTCAAGGTGGTTATTTAATAATGTGTTTTTTGTTTCTCATCTTTCCCCATTTCTCTTCTTTCTAATTTTTTTTAATCCTTTATTACTCCAGTATCAAGCTTAATGGTTTCACACAAAGTAACGTCATGGATTTACAATTATGTCACTCTGTTTTCTCCGCAATAACTAAAAGATTGTATCATTTACATTTTTGTGCTTTACTAACAATCTTCTATACAGCATATGAAATATCTTCAAAACAGGGTCATAACTACTCTTAAATCATTGAGGCCTTTTATTTCAAAACCATAGAGTTTTGTTTGATCCTCTAAAAGAACATTCATTTTGCAGTTCCCTAGTTAATAAACATATGGTCCATGTAAATGGCTTGGGAATAAGAGATTCAGGTTTATAAGCTTTTTGATTTTCTATCATTGATTTTGATGCGTGCAGTCAAATGTCCTCAAGGCAACCCTTGCTACAGATGCTGTGATTGGCGCTACGGTAAGAGTCTTACTGGTAGTATAAAGAGCTCATACTTAAATATTTGAATTCATAGATCACACATACACTGATTACCAAGGATGGTTTCTTAATGAGTTTGACAGGAACTTTTGTTAAAATTTATACAAAATTTAGTTACTTTAAGCAGTATTAAGTTATCAAGTATCTTCAATTCTCTTTTGGTAGGTTAGTGTGCATACACCTGGAAGTGGCTATGTTCTGCTGCATCATGTGATGGGAGAAACTGATAGTGACCGCGGAATTTGGTCGTATGTATTTGCACTCCCAACTTTCTGTATGTTGTATACCTCAAAGAAACAGCAAGCTGATAACTGCTCAAGATCTCTGTTTAAAAAAAAAAGTATGAATCTGGGACATGATTAAAGTCATCCAATGTAATGCATGCACAAGTCTTTAGGATCTACCAGAGCAATACAGTTAGTTGACAGTGACTTTGTACTACTGGTACAAGTCTATAGGATCTAATAGTATGATGATTCTTGCTTAACTGGACAGCAACAGTTAGTTGGTAGTGACTTTGTCCTACTCACAACATGTGCTTTCCTTATGGTATTAGTTGCAGACTTATGTTGTTCTAAGAACTTTATTTTCATTTCATAAGTTAGCATCGTCATTACACTATTGTCTAGCAGTTGCATTTAGGCCCATTAGTGTACTCTCCTAGTGTTGTTATCGCTGAGAAAAAGCAGTGTCAGCCTGCTCTGACCTTCAACATGCAGAATCCACAAGGTAACATTCTTCAGATAAATTTAATGTCGGTTATATATTAGCTCCAAATGTCAGCAGTGTCAGCCTGCCCAAAATCTGAAACATGATAAAGTCCACAATGTGACATTTTCAGTGATAAATTTTAGTGTTGGTCATATATTTGGCAAATGTTGAATGCATACCTAGAAGCACACAGAAGCATCTGACTTCCTAAATAATTTTTTTTCCCTAACTTATTTGCTATAGTACTGCAACCTCGTTGGAAAGAGAATCTTGATAACTTTGACTTCGAAGGTAACTTCCATATGAATCTTAGATATCCGGTATATCCGAGAATTAATATCTGTGCAGCTATGTTGAAGGCGGGATGGGTTCTGTATCTGTGGCTATTGCCAATGCTGCCAAGGAAGCTGGCGCTCACATTATAACAAGTGCAGAGGTACTTTGTCTGGAATCACTCTTTTAGTTTTCTTCTTGCAAGTAGCGTGACTAGAGATCCAATTTAATCATTTAGTGAGCTGTGTCTTGCCTCAATCATTTTCTTGCTTGCATGCCCATATAGCAAAAGAGAAAAAGGCCCAATTTTAGACACTTGTGCTGTCTAAATAGTAATATTAGAGAATTTATAGAGGACTTGATCTTCGGTTAGTTTTACCTCTATGTAACAGAAATAGTTTTGGATAACCCTTTGCTAGAAGACAGTTATACAATTGGAAGGAGTGTACGTTAGGTGATTTAATAAAGAACAAATGAGAGTAGAAAAGAATAGAGTAGAGATAGAGTTATAAGAATGGAAAAGGAAATTTATTTCTCTCTCAAAATCTGTCTTTACAGGAGGTTTTACAGTCCATATATACAAAGATAAATGGATGAGCTGGCTAACAACCTGCTAACAGAAGACTACACACCTAATGAATGGAAAACATAAGAAACAAAATAAAAAATTACTATGTACATGTCATGAACTCACTAACAACCAGAATAACGCTACATTCCCCCCTCAAGTTGGAGCTTGGTGAACATCACACAAGCACAACTTGGATAAATGGTGAGTGAATGCAGGGGCAGAAAGAGACTTTGTGAAAAGGTCTGCCAATTGTGATGTAGAAGGAACATGTTGTGGCAGAATGAAGCCTTGTTTGAAATGATCACGTACTAAATGGCAATCTATGTCCAAGTGCTTCGTCCGTTTATGGAAAATAGGATTTTCTGTGATATGAATTGCTGCCTTGTTATCACAGAATAAAAGGAACAGGTGTGAATATTGGAATCTGCAAATCACGTAGCAAATAAGAGACCCAAATAAGTTCACAAACTGTAGAACCCATGCTTTGATATTCTGCCTCAGCTGAGAACGTGACACAGTGGACTG